CGTGGGCCACATTTTGCCCACCTCTGTGCTAAGCCCTCATTCAACACCTCCTTTGCAGGCTGCTCAGCTTTGCTACCAGCAGGATCCTATCTTGTAGGGCTGTGCGAAGCTTTGGTCCCTGATTTGATTCGGCGGAGATTCGGCCCGATTCAGTGGCCAAATCTCCAAATCCGAATCAAATCAGAGGACCCTTTAATCTCGGAACCCTCTGAATCGATTCGGAGAGATTCAGAAAGATTCAGTGATTTGGACACAGACACAGCTTTAAATGTTTTTTCTACATACCTCAAGGTACCAGGTGGCTCGTGAGTGCTGCAATGCTGGGGCAGATGGAGCATCCCACAGGAGCGCGGGGGTCCCCAGCATGCTTGGCAGCAAACCCGGAAGTGGACCAGAAGCACTACCAGTCCACTTCTGAGTCCACCCGGGAGTGTCCTAGGGGCCCCCCTGCACCCCCCATCTGGGTCTGGGGGGACACCCAGGGTCCCCCCACGACGAATCACTGAGCCAGGGGGGCACAAGGGAGCCCCCCTGCGTCCTCCCTGGCAGACCCAGAAGTGGACCAGAAGTACTTTTGGTCCACTTCTGGGCTCACCACCGAGTACGTGGAGGGCCCCCCTGTACTCCTGTGGGACGCTCCATCCGCCCCAGCATAACGGCATTCCCAAGCCAAGCTGGTACCTCGAGGTATGTAGAAAAACCTTTTAAAGCTGTGTCTAGGTCTGAATCACTTATCATGCAAATCAGTATCAAATCTTCAGATTCGGATTTGGCTGAATCGAATCATGACCAGTGATCCGAATCAACAAATCGAATCGCTGTCCCCGATTTGGGCCGAATCCAAATCCAAATTGAATAGGGCCCGCTTTGCACGTCTCTACTATCTTGCATCTAGATGTTTGCTGTCCAGGCCTCTCCATATAGGTGGTAGAGTACAGGTGGCCAGGAGTAGTCTCTCCTGGATTTATGTTGCACAGGAGCAGTTCAGTCTCCTCAACAGCCAAAACCACTCAGGGGATTAACCTCAAGCTGGTTTCAGTGTGACCCCAGGCACCTCTGGTCACTGAAAGCAGGGCAGGTTCTTACCTTCCAGTTAAGCTGCACAGCGCTGCCAATTTGCACCTTTTGCTTTTCCAGTTCTGTGCCATTCGGTACCTGTGTCTTGGAGAAAATTGACTGCGGGTTTCAAGCAGTTAAGGAAATGGGACTGAATTACAACCAGCCTCTTCTCAGTATAAACCTGCACGGTGCAGAGAGAACGTTTAGACTGGTTCAAGTCTTGGCTCAGTTAATAAACAACGGTGCATAGGGGCTGCCTAGATCCTTATTTTTTCACACACACATGAAAAAAACCAAACCTAAAAACAAGCCCGTGGTTTGACACAATACAGTGCTCTCTCTGGCAAAGGCCAGAAGAATCCAGCAGGGGAACAGTGGGGTAGGACTCAGATACATCAGCACAGTTCTGGGCTCATACCATGCCCGTCTCTTCCCCTAGCACCGCACTGACACGGTTTAAGAGAACATGCAGGATGGGCTGCATGCACAGGCACCTTCTCATTGTGGTTCTCGAGACTATTCTCAGTGCTTGTGGGCCATTACTTTGTTGTAATGGGGTTGCCATCAGGAGTGACTTCCTACAGGCTCTCGGGAATAGTAGTGGTAATCTCAGGACTGTTTCCCAACTCATTACAGGACCTGACTGTGAACATGGCTGCTTCCTGGCAAAGGGAAGTTCAGGGAAACAGGACATCCCCTTATGCTCAGGCATCTGCTTTCTGTGTTGCAAGTAACAGGAGGTTGTGATTGCATGTGTGAGAGAGAGAGACTACCATTGGGATGCTACTGCCACTCCCTGGAAAGCGGGGCTGGTTGTGGGCAAAATGTTGGCTCTTCCCTCTTCAACTCTCTCAAAACTAAAGAGTGTGGCTTACTTCCTTCCATAGAGGGAGAACAAGTTGGACTGAATACATTTTCACTGCAGACCTAGCTCAGGTGAACGGCAGCTGGAACTGAGGATTTGCCCAGGTGCAAACATCCCCACTGCAAAATCCTACCTGTGTCCTCATGTCCGCACTCTGCCACGTGTGGCCAGGGGCACGTGCCATGCTTCTTCACCTGGAGACACTCTAGAAAGCTTTCCCGGTCAACTGCAGATGAACCTGTCTGTCCTTCAGGGGGAATTGTGGGGAGCCATTGGAGGACTATCAGTACTTGAGCAATTTTCCCTGCATTCTCATTGCAAAGTTCCAGTTTGAGTTACAGCGGATCCATATCTGACATGCACATAGCAATGCCACACTTGCAATGGAAATGAAGCTACTTCCGGGGAATAAATAAACAGCACCTACTCTGCAATAAACTCAGAAGCTTTTGGGAAGTGCATCCAAGTGAGAGACTGCAGAGGTACCATGAGGTAAAGCAGAACATGGCAATAGCAAAATCATAACCCCAGATTGAGCAGGAAAGTGCCATGAGGCAGCAAAGACGACAGGCCTATTGATTTTTATGACATATCTGAAAGGTAAGCCTCAGGGTTTCTCAGCATCACCCAGGACACCAGCTAGATTGATTCAGAGGAAAAAATGACACCATCAATGCCACCAAAAACCTAATAATAATTTATTATCTGTCTTCTCCCACACTGTTGAAACGTGCCCATAGTTACCACTCCTGCTAATACCTGCAGGTGCCAGCTCCTTTCTTCTCTGTTGTGCAGTTCCTCTCGGTGAGTTAGTGATGTGCATCTCCGGACATTTCCTAAGTACAATCCTGAAGAGGCGCAAGCAAGATCAAGTCTTAACTGCCCTTAAAAAGAAAGAAAGAGAGAAATACCCCTTAATGACCAATTCATCTGAGATTTAGCTTGGCCTCTCCTTTATGTTGGGATTGATTGTGGATCATAACTCTTCATGCAAGTGGGGAACGTGCAAAAACATCCAGGAAGAGTTTGTTTGAATACCAGAGACAATGTTTTTTTCTCTTCAGAAGCAGATAATTTGGTGCCTCATTTTCTTCCCTGCAAATCCTAACCTGAATCCCTTTAAATAACTCTTAGATCTAGTGTTTTATCTAATTATGGAAGGATTTCAATTGTGTTTGCAGGCCTTGCTTGAACTAGCCTGAAGTAGGAGACTCATGTATATCCATAGGGGAGAGTCACCATTAATAAGGCTGTACCTACCAAGACTTGCCATGGAGTGGTTTCAGTGATCCCACCCGCTTTTCCCTCTGGAAACCACAGTGTGGTCAATTATGATTCCCTAGCAGCAACCACTATAAATTTACAGGGAATCATTCATTCCTTTTAAAATGCAGCTTGAAAGAGAGAGAAATGTAGCTATTAACCTTGTCACCAAGGCTCAGAAGAAAAACTGTGGCTCTGAGGGGAAAGAAAACTCTCTCCAAACTTGAAGCGATGAGGCCTACCCCTCGACTGGATCATTACTTTGCTACATGATGATGGACGATGAGACCTTTAGGAGCGTCCTCATGAAGCAAGCCCTGCTCTTCATTCCCAGTCCGTGCAAGCCAAAGCTAGGAAATGAAGAAATGTGGCTACCTTGGAATGGCCTTGAATGCATCAACTAAGCACTGCCGAGAGAGAGCAACACTTAAGCACTTGACCTTTGTCACTTAGGAGCTTGACCTCGCAGTTCCATGCATCTAAGTACCATGTAATTATAATGAGCATTTATAGACGTGCTCCGGGAGGTGGGGGGCCCTTTAATTAGCGAGGTGCGCTAATTAAAAGCGCCCGAGCGTCACATGTATCAGCGTCCTCACGCTGAAAAAACAGCAGCAGGGCACTTTGAACTTAAGCTTGTTCTATGAGCTGTAGTTCAAAGCGCCCCGCTGCCATTTTTCAGCACGGGGACGCTGATACATGTGACATTGGAGCGTGCTCATTTCCATGCTGATGCATTGGATTTACAGAGCATCGGCGCAGCCTCCCTGAATGTTTGCAGGTGCTCAATGTTTTTATCTCCTCATCCCTCTTCTGAGGGAGTGATATGCTGCTCAGCCCTGTTATATAGAGGACAAACTGCATCCCAGAGAATAGGGTCCTCAAGGTTTTAGGATGGCCACGGTCACACAGGAAGTCTCATGCATAGAAAGGACCCGGGAAGCTCTGGGGTCAGTGGTTTCAAGGCAGCCCCCGTAAACCACCTAAGTTTCAAGGTTTCAAGGCATCCCTACAAACCACCTAAGTAGCCTAACGAGTGAGCACACAGGAAGCCAGACAGGTGATTGCCCACACCATGCCTGCATGCTGTCTAAACAAAATGTTTCACCAAGCTGGGTTTGGTTTCAACAAGCTGGTATTTTTTAAATAAAAATGATGGTGTCAGGATCCTGTTCCTGACAAGCTCTGCTCCCTGGACAAGAAGTATCAGAAGTACCACAAAAAGATAAATTTCCTACAAGGCAGGAAAAGCAAGAAAAGTAAAATTCCCTTCCCCGCTATTTCCACTTGGTGTTTAATTGTAATTGGGAAGTGTTAGGTGGGAACCGTGCACCGTTGAGCTTTCACATTAAACAGTTCTTTTCTAGAAAGAAAACTAGCGTAGGAAAGAAGAGGATGCTTTTCTGTTTGGGAGAAAAAGGCAGAGACACACACATCATTGCCCTCTGTGCTGGGAACATTTGTCTTTCTCCCATTCTCTCTTTTTATGTTTTCCATAATACAAGGAGCGTGGCCGTTATGTAAAATGCTCACAAGCAGATTCTGGTCCCCATCACCGCAGTACAATCCTTTTTTGCTGTACCTCTTTGTCTCTTCTCATCTCCACCTCTTCAGCTGGCATTGGCCTCCATGCTTCCTTCACATGCTCAGCTTTATTGACAACAGCTCTGCCACTAAACCTCAGCTCTTGTGGAGGTCTCTTACTCCTCCCCAGTTATTATTTGCTAACTCTCCATATATACAAGATACATTATTTTGGGGGCATATTGTGCCACCTCGCACAACCTCTATGAGAAGGCTGGGTTACAGATGTAAACATTCATAAAAAGCACCAGCAGAAAAGAGCCAATGGAGAAACAATGGGTCTGTTTAAAAGAAATTAAATAAAAAAGTCTATATTGAGAGTACTGATAAGTACTTGGATAGCTACGGGCAAAGGCCGAGCTGGAGTTGTCTTTGTTGTGCCATGCAAACCTCTGCCTCTTAACTCACATCAGGAAACCATTTCCTATGCAAAACCCATTCTCAGTACGGCAAGTTTATGTTGAACTGCATGCGTCCCCGCTCCTGCAGTTGGGTCAACACCCTAGAGAGAAACTAAAGTATTTCTGAAGCAGAAACAGCAGCCTATCAGTAATTCTCCAGACCTTGTGCACAACTGGATAGCTCCCTACGATTGGGAGAAAACTAGAACCTGAATGCGTGCCCTAATTCAAGCTGTTTGGGCGTTGCTAATCTCTCCTTCATGAAGCAATTCCTCCTAAACACCCGGATCCACCTTTCCTAATGTAGGACATAATAACTATATCTGGTGCCTGCCAGACATCTATGTGCTAGGAGCAAGATGGAAGTTCATCCAAAGGTGCACACTGCCTGCTATACACGCAGAGGGCAATTACAGGCAAACTCTAGGTCACGCAATATAACATAAGCAGAGCCCACCCACCATTACCAAGGAGGTTTACAAAGACTGCCAGGCAACCTGTCTGAAGTAAATGAGGGACTGCAAGATCCACCTTGCTTCTTTGGGGCAAAATGTACAGAGGGCAATGGCTATCCACCAGAGGGAAGGTGGAAACCCAAGTTATTTTCTACTCAGGACAAAACCCAAACAAATAGGGTCTGGCCTGCTTATAATTCTTTCAGGGTATGGGACCTTAGCCATTTTTTTACTTGACTACCAAAGGGTCAACATATATACCAGTGTTCAAGTACTTGAGAGCTGAAAATTCCTGACAGCCACCATAGCCAGTGTGCAAAGCCCATGGACACCTTGAACGTACGCCCAGGGCCGGCCAGGTCAGCCCCGCTGTGGGTCACTCCAGCTGACCTCGCTGGCAGAGGGCACACTGAGCTGCAGCCCATCTCCACGGGCCCCCAGGCTCCTGTGGGGATGGCTACTCCTCACTGCTTACCCCAGAGGCTAAATCCTCATTGGAGCCAGGAGCACTGACTCTATACCCCTCTGCCAGTGAGGGCAAGTCAATCCTTGTCTTGCACTTAACAGATCTGTTTTCCCCTGTTTAAGTGCCAACACACAAAGCGTCATCACTGCCATGTTGCTGTTTGTTCTCAAAGGACCTAAATCCAGAGGAACAAACTCCCTCATTATTCTTCCTACTGTTGGACCACACATGGGCAGGTCTGGAGGTGCTGAAGCTTCTTGGCCGTGGCCCAGGCATCTAAACTTCCTCCCTTTATGCATCCTATCCTCATGTCTCAGGCTTTCTGTTCATAGTTAAGGGCTAAGCAAACGGGATTTCCTTTACTCCTGTGGCGGACAGCTTTGCACAATGAATTCAGTGAGAAACGTTGGCAGCCCTCGAATTTCTGATCAGTGCGGTAACCTGTTCTCCGTTTGCTATTCGTATCACATTCAGTTTGCCAGGAGCTGCCTTGCCAAGCTGCTTTGCTTGTTTGCCTCCATTCCAGGTCAGCTATGTTAATTGATTTGTTCCACAGCAGCAGACATATAGGTATCTGTTCTTGCTAGCTAGGTTCATTATGGTGCCCCATCAGTATAAATTCCTCTCTGCGTACTGCAGGCAAACTAAAGCTTTGAGAGAAATGGACTGAGTTCAAACACTCCTAGAAGCTCCAGATGCAGGCACAGAGCTTTTCTAGGGCTGCCGTCCTTTGCAACAGATTTCTTGGACAGTTTTGGTAGCTGTTGTGGATCTTAGCACTTTATCTTTCTCAAAGAAGAATGTCTCCAATCACTGAAAAGCAGAAAAATAATTAAAAATGCTGAACAAAAGCACTCCACTTTTCCTATGGTCTCTCCTTCAAAGTTTGTAGTGTAGCAATATAATAGAGGGTGTGTGTAGATGGGTAGGTGGCTGAGAAAGAGTCAGACTCAGCGTATTTTGCTGGAGGAGTCTACTGCAGAGACCAGAAGCATTTTCTATTTCCCTTGGGGCTGCAGACCCATGGCCCAGCCAAGGGCAGCTCCTCAGACAAATGCCTACCCTGGGTCACTGTCCTACCACAAAGTAGTAAGCCTAGTCTCTTGTATCCCTAGCAGGTCCTTTGTGGGAAACACTGGACACCCATCAGAGAGGCTCCCCCAACTCAGAGGACCTTTGGAGGAAGGGGAGACTTGCAGTGGCAGTGTGTCCACTTGCAGGGATACGGAGTGAACAGTGTGGGACACCAAATACAACCTTGATGTTTAGCTTGACCTTTGCCAGTTTATCGGTCAGAAGGTTGCAACCCAAGCAAAAGGTGCCCTGGGAATGAAGGCACTGGAAAAAAAGGGAGAATCAAAAAGGCTGAGGAGCAAGCAGAACATAAGACATGGTCCTGCTGCCTTCCATAGACCCACCATCTTGCTCTCACATGAATTCATCCCAGGTCTAAGTTAAGCATAGTTGGTGGGAGAGGGAAGGTGCAACAGGATTTAACCTCACTGGAGGGGAAGGACAAGACAGCAGGGATGAAAGCAGAAGGGGGTTTATTAACTAGAACTCAACGCATTCGCATTTTTCAAGCGATAGGAAAGAGGAAGGACAACAGAGTTCCCCGAGAACTACCAAGCCAGAAAACAGTCATGAGAAGTGGAGCAGCAGCTGGGAAGAATCATTGGATAATATGTTTTATTTTAAGTGGATACAAGTTTGTA